TTTACTAATGCGAAAAGAATTAAAAATGTTACACTATTGCCTACATAACAATATTTAAATGTAAAATTTTATAATAATGACATGAGAGACACTAGATTTAGTTTCATTCCTTTTTTATTTTCTAAACACAAATCTTACACCATATTTTTTCTTTACAAATTGATACATCTGAAAATCATTTACATATAATTGATTTGAAATATGATACATAGAATAGCCTTGACAGCGTTTGAGTAAAAAGTAAATACAATATTGTCCACATACATTGGATGTAGGTGATTGAAACACCTCGGAATTCCATAGTACGTCCGTGAAGGAAGCGGTTTTCACGTTGTAAAATCCGGGAGGCTTCCCATATGAGTCATAAAACTCTAACTGTCTTTGATCATTCACAAATAACGCTAACCAGTGAGTCCCAGCTTGTGATGAGTCATCGGAATTCGTGATAGCACATGTGTTTTCTTGGAGATTCGGAAGCGTATCTCTTGAATATACGCCTTGAAAGTAAAGTGTTGTTATCTTATCTTGCGATAAAATGTAGAATAGTTGCAATCCATCCATTCTTCAATTTCCGAAGTCGAATAAGATATTTCTTGACTTGTTAATTTCAATCAAATTTTAAAATTCGGCAAAAACGATTACGCATACTGTTTTTACCAGTGATTTGGCAAATTTCAGTTCTAATCTCAAATTGCTATGCTTAATCAGATTTAAATGTTCTCCTAAACATAGATCTGGGGAGAGATTAAATCCAAATAATGTATTTTCGTTCCTGTAGTCTTCTCTGGAAATAAATATTCCTCTATCTTGACCCATTCGTTCCGTTCCATCAAATAAAGTTTGATAGGCACGAATGCATTGATTTTGTGAAAAGTTAAGTTCCAATGGATTATGGGGGACAGGTTGTCCATCTACATACACTCCAATAAAAATTAAATCAAAATGTTTAAAATCAAAAGGAGATTTTGTCAATGTTCCATGAAAAGCTTCATTATCTACACAACCAATAATAACTTTTTTAGGCATTTGACTCGAAAATATATTATTTTGAATAAAAGACATGCTCCCTTTAGGAATCGAATACACTTTGCATAGGACTCGATTAATGGGGTATTTTGCGCTTGTTTTCTCGAGTGCTTTAGCATGACCAAGAAGCACTCCAGGGTTCACGCGAACTTTTCGAATGAATAAAGAGACATGATCCAATACTACTTTAAATCCTTCAGATCCTTGTAGACAAAATTCTGGCTTGCTTCTTATTAGTTTTATTTTCAAATCCACTAAATAGAGTAAAAGACGATCTTGATGAAATAAATCTGAATGAATGCAGCCAATCATATCCACTGTTGCGCTTTCTTTGAAAAAAGCAATTCTTTTGTTTAAACCATCCTCAGAATCTTTATAAAATAATTCAGCTGTTAATTGAGATGTTTTGCTATCATATCCATGGTTTAGGAGAGTTTCAATATAGGCCCTATAGGGATAGGTATTGCTTGAATTGGAAACTGTACTATCGTTTAAAGACACATCTACTTGAGAAAATAATGAATGTAGAAATAAATTCACAGGTCCTATAACATCATCTTTAGTGATAGCTGTATTGTTCGTTTTTACTATTTTCGCTTTCACATACAATTGTGTTTGACTGAGATCTATGTAATCTTCTACACTTCCAGAGACATGAAACTCTACGGGAGCATTCTCAAAAACGTTAGAAAGTGGATGAAATTGTATCCATTGACCATCTTGAATAACTGTTTGAGTTCCAGGTAAGGTAAAAAGTTCCAATTCCGATTTTACGCACTCAGGAGAATCTTTCAACAAAAATGCCATTTTATGGATCAAAAATATTACGTCCACTCACTTTGCGTGCTTTAGATGAAATGAATCGTTTTTGCTTCTTACGCTTCCTTTTATAGTTTCCTTTCCCGACCATAGACTGCACTTTATCAATAGCTTTTTGTGCTAGATGTTTTCAACTTTCTTTAGTTCTTGTTTTGACGGCTTCCTCAAAGTTTTTCTCCAGATAATACATCAGATGCTACTCGAGTTCCTGTTTTTAAAACTTCTTTTCCAATAGTTTTACCACCTCTTACTAAAAAGGGTAGCGCTGCTCTAAATAATCGACGAAATATACCACCAAGTCCATAGCCCTTTTGGAAATTAATACCCTTATAATAGGGCAAACCCGAGCCAATTTGACTTGCATAATGATCTTCGAATTTTTCAGCACAACAAACGTACGGTACACTCTTGACGTCTTGTCTTCAAATGAATGATTCAAAAACGCATCGCACTATTTATAGTATTTGTCTCATGCGGAAATGTAAAACTATAATCACTTTACCACTTTCAAAAGGTACGAAATCACCTTAATTCAATCTGAGCTCCACATGGATAGTTTGAAAGGAGTGTCTCGTTAAAGGTAAGTATTGAGGTCTATCATAATACTGGCTGATTGTTTCACCATCATATCCTTTTATTCGAACGATCCGCAGTAAAGGAGCTTGCGTATCTCCGACAATTTGTGGTGAAATTAAATCTGAGTAGACGTAAAAAACGGAAAAATTAGACCACGCGTCAGCCACAAATTCGCTTTTCTGGTTACCCGTAATGATTGCATCACGTTGAAATCCTAACAATTCACCTAACTTTTCTAAATGAAGGCTGCAACCTTGAACGGCGTTAATTTTAACTCGTTTCGTAGCTTTATTGTAATTTATTGTAAATCGACTAGGATTTTTAGGTAAAGCAAGTTGTATAGCTGATACAATATCGAACATTGATTCATAACAGCCCACATCAATTGTTTGCTTAACAGTCGATATGATATTACCGTTACTTATCTTGTAATGAAAATAATTGTTACTTTCATTTACGTTCAGCCAAGAATGCGGATAGATGATTTCAGATAGGCCTACTTCCCATTCCGCTTTTAGATTAACTGGTATCGGTAACTGCGTCTTAAAATGGGAAATTTTGTTGTTAGGAAAAAACTGCATGGAGCTATCAGAGGGTAACGTCACATAGAAAGACATTTTTGAGAATGAGTCTTCATAGGTTAAGTTTCACTATTTATACTTTTTGAATATCACTCACCCAGGCATTAAACTTTTCAGGATAACCTAGAAATTTAACAAAATATTCCGTGCTTCCTCCTTTCTTTCTCTTTTTGATAACTTTTTCTACGGGATAATAGCCCGAGTTGACTACTTTTTGTAATTCTTCTGCATAAAAGGTACCTTCGATTGATTCATTCATTAAATCTTTCAATTTATACACTACAGGATTTCGATGAACTATTTTATCTATGACAAATAATTCTCGAGTCCAATTATTTTCATATCCTTTCTCAAATGAAAGTTTTGATTTACTAATGCGAACAGTGTCACCTACTTGAAAAACAGGGTTATCAATATTCACCTTGTCGCTATATAAATTATTCCAAACCTGTTTCTGATTATCGATATTCACTGAGGCTGGTTCCATTTTTATACTTCTATGCTTTGTATGATTATAACTATGGATTAATTTAGAAAGGACATCAATTTTTTTTTTCGTGTTGAATTCTGTAAAGTATTTCCACATCTTCGCTTTTAAAGTGCGATTAAATCTCTCAACAATACTTGCTTTAGTTTCATTATTCGTTGTAAAAAAATGAACTCCTAAATTTTTAAGATACTGCTGTATACGTTTATTAGTGAATTCTGTTCCTTTATCTAATTGCAGTTTCTCAGGTTTTCTTTCTCTAAAAATAGTTTTTAAAGCTGGCAATACAGTTTTGGCTGATTTGTCTTTAATAGGAATAGCCCAAGCATACTTTGAGAAACAATCTATACAAGTTAACAAATATTTATATCCATTATTAAATTTTTCTAAAGATTGCATGTCAACTAAATCAATTTGAAATTGTTCATCTATACCTCCAACAATCACTCTATTACATTTAAATTTATGCCTCACAGGTTTAAGTAAAGTATAAGAATCTTTAGTCTCCAACCATTTCTTAACGTCGCTTTTCTTCACCTTACCTTTCACAGAATTATAAATAGCATTTACACCTCTAAAACTTCCTGGATGTCCAGGTTTCGTATAAACAGATGAAGGTAAACGATTCATAATCTATTTCAAATTTTTTTTAGAAATTATCAGATTTTTTTTCTTTGATAACAATTTAATTCTAAGAGTTAAAATTAACACTCATAAACATTCTTAAAAAATAATGGTATACAATAATTTCTACAAAATTAAATAATAATACCTATTTAAGTATAAAATAGTTTTCCTTATTGTATTACAGCAATAATTTTTTCTTCTTCTATTTTAAGAACCTGAAAAAAGTATTATTCTGAAAAAGAAAATTCATGCCTGTTGAAAAAAAGAAATCTCGATTCCTCTGAAAACAAAAGTTCACAGTAATTTTTACAAAATATAAAAATAACAACAAAATATTTTAAAACTTAAGTTATTTTATTTGCAAAAATCATTTTTAGCAGCAGTTAATAAAGTATCTAATTTAATTTCTCTCAAAAAAGCTTCACACAAAAAGTCTTTAAGGTATTGTCTAAACAGCCTTCGTTCACTTAGTTCATTATTAAAATCCAGAGCAATATTCTCCACATGTAAGTCTAAGCAAGATTCATTGAAATCGTGAACACTGCACACAACCTGGTCTAGAAAGTCAGCAGACCTGTCTACTGGCTTCAGACCTTTCTTCAGTCTAATATGTTTATACAGCACAATTTTCAGGCAATCTTTCATAACAGGACCCGCTTCGTTGATGTCTGAATTCTTTGGCACCACTGGACACTGTTGATGGGTGGATTCTTGAAAAATGTTCAAAAAGTCCACGGACCTGTATTTTAAATTAATATAGCCTAATGTCACACTATCTCGACACTTCTGTAGTTCTCTCCACTGTTTGAAACTGATTTCCGTCTCGTGCTTGTATACGCGATCACTTCTGCAGGTATATTCGTCCACTAGCAGATACTTTCCCTCGTCATTCATCAGTACATAAAATTTTTCACGGGGATTAGCTGGAGGGATCTCTTCCAAAGCCATGTTGATGTCTGCAATGCCGAAGATACATGTCGGTGGATCATGACAAAAGCAAGCATTATACTGTTCAGGCTGTAGAGTTATACCATATTCTGAAGGATAGTATGAGTCTCCATATCTGTTAAACCTTCGTATATGAATGGCTGATTTCTTGTTATACGTGCTGGCCAAAACGAATAAGTCCTCACCAATTGGATAGCAATACTCTGGAAAGTTTCCCTCCTGGAACAAACCTTTCCTCTTTGGTTCATCCTAATAAAATAAAAAGAAACATTTTTTGAGTCATCAAGAACAACAATAACGTTTAAAATAAGTAACAACTATTAACAGAATGTAATTATGTTTTAAATTTAACTTAATTATACCTTTCGATTCAAATAATATTAAAGAATTTTTTAAAGTTAACTAAGTTTTGCCACATGCTCAGCTTAAAAAAGAATTAATGCTAGAAGTTACAATAAAACAATTCTATTAACAATAAATTTAAAAGCATAGTAAATTACGAAGAAATCAATAGTACTTACTTCAGTTTCAACATGTTTTCTCTTTAAATATCCGTCCATAACGACCCGGTGAATCAAACAGTTTAAAAACTTAATCAAGACACAACAGAAGAACAAGTGAAATACTAATATAAGAGGGGGGAATTAAGCAAAACTGGGTGCCTAGGCCGCGCAGCGGCCCCTGCCCCATTCATCATGAAAATTATATACAGTGAGTAAAACATTTTGAACTATGTAACAATGTGGTAACATTATAATAAAGTAACCATGATTAGAAGTATGTACAAACTTGATCAGAGATTTGCATTAATTGCCATTGAAAAATGAATACAGCCATGATTAGATGGATATACATGAAATACGAGCTTAATCTGTGATATTTACATTAATTGCAGTAGAAATTTGAAATTGAACATTAAAAATTGATGATAGCATCTATACAGAAAATCGGGATTCAAAATCATGAAGATTCTACAGAAATTTTGCTAAGCCTAAGTGGCGTCATCTAGTGTGATCAGCATTCAAAAATATTAATTTGTATAGTAATAGAGATACTAACTAAAGTTAAAAAAGAGTTCAGGTTTAGTCCAAATGTGACATTATTCAGAAGTGGACTCACGCATGATTGTTAGCAGCAGTTGTAAAACTTCTCTGTTTTTTAAAATTTTTTTTAGTTCTTTGATGATTGAAATCAGTCTATGGACTTGACCTGTCGTTGTAGATGGAATTGTAGCTGGAGTTGCACGAGGGCCTCTCCTGGGGGACGGATGCTGCATCCCGTGTAGTTTGCAGTGTGTGCCTCCCCACAGTTGCAGCACTTGGGTGTTGTATTTATGTCTTTGTGGCACTCAAAAGAACGATGGTCTGCGGCACATTTAAGACATCTTGGTTGTGAGTTGCAAATTCGCTGCGTGTGACCGTAATTTTGGCAGTTGGATTGGGCTTCCCCCTCCGCGGAACCTTTCAATTTTCACCGGAAGGTCACAAATATTGGTAACTGAGAAGATTTGTTGATTTTGATCTGTTTCAATTAGTATTGTGAGAAAAAGTGGGAGGAGCCTAGAAACATAAGCATATCTGCCAACTCTTCGGGATTTTCCGGAAGATTTTATTTTTATATTTAGAGTGGTAGTAATTATATACTATTTTTTCTTTTATAATCTTAATTTTTAAATGATATTGATCACCACTATTCTTACAAAAATTAAGCACATATATTAATATGCGTTACTATCATGGTTGTCAACTTAAGTTTTCTCACATACAACGTATTTGTTTGCCTAAAATTGAAGTTTTAATTCCATTTTAATACCACTGGGAAAAATTATAATGGAAGGGATTAAAAGTTGGCAGGTATGCATAAGTACTAAAAAGTGGTGAACAATATAAGCCTACGAATTATCTAGAAATAGTGGTGGGTAAAAATGTACTAAATTGAACTTATTAAACGAAGAATCACAATTTAGAAACTTCCACTTTAAAATATATATTTGCTGTCCAGAGCAAGTTGGCATCTCTGCTGATCTGACTACCTTTAACCCTCCGCTTACGGCTCAGTTTTTATACTACGGGGCCATTTTTAAGTTACTTTTAGTTTAATATTTTTCATTTAAGTAATTTTTTCACCACTAAATATCAAAAATTATAACTATGATATGAAATGCAACGTTAAATTTACGGGAACCCCTCGTAGGCTCAGAATGAGCATAAGAAAAGATCTGAACATTGACTCATTTGAGGAACACACGGTTTAACTCTGCATCTCTTTCCTCAATGATGCGCGTAAATGCACTACGTGTAACTGCAACCAAATCTTTGACTTCGAGCTCACTAGGAAAAACAGCCTATACAACCCGGCAACTGTTTTTTATCTATCAGACGTAGTTTTATCTAAAAGGTTTAACTAGCAAATAATTTCAACTATCCCATCTCCTCAAATCTAAGTCCCTGTCTGTGCACCCGTGAAGCCCGCAAGGTGGGAGGCGATGCAGGCAGGTGACCGAGATTATCTCTCTGTAAATACCTGTCTCATTCTATCCTTATTGTACTCATTATCATGTCTTATATTGTCTTTATCCATTTGCTTGCTTCTTAAATTTTGTACACCCCTCTGATTGGAGCCACGGCTATGTACCATATCTACCACTGAGATGAATGAGTTGGGGACCCTGACGGGGCCGAAACTTAGATAAATAAGTCACATAGGCATAGCATCAATCTACTGGTTACTATATTAAAAAGTAGAGGTTACTATCTTTCTTCCTTGACACTCGGCAAATCCATATCTTTCATAAATGTTTATCGCGTACGGGGAAATGGCGGGATCCGTATTGAAATCAGGGAAAAAATTTCTTCGCCCTCGATTTTCACGTGACCCGTAGTGGGGGACGAAACAGATACCCCACTCAAATCGCGGGAGCCGTACGCGGAGATTTAATAAACCATGTAGAGGCTTTCAGTTATAGAAGGTGTTGCTTTAACCAACTTTTGGTGAACAATATTATAGTCCTATTAATGTGTTTTCCTGAGGTGAATCTGGAGTTGCTCCAGTTACCTCGTCTTTTCACTCCCAAACTGAATTCAATCAATTAAAACTTATTTCCTTCATACATGCACAGATTATACCACTGCAATTTATCGGTACGCGAGCAGCCGATCAAGTCGCTGCTGAAGAATCAACTTTTAACTTTACAATGATGACCAACCTAGAAAAGAATACTGATCACCAGGACGTTTAGGCCTTCAGATCAACAAAGTTACAAACTTAATTGTAATTTTAATTCTAATTTATTAGTTGTTGTTGTTTCGTTTGTCAATTTCAGAAGGACTAAGTAACTTGATTTTCTTATAAATATTGCATAAAGTTCTGTAAACTTTTTTATTACCCATTTTAATGCTTTCTCTATTTGAATTTTGCATTCTGTCTTAACCTTACGTTCCACTCCTTTAAGACATACCGATTTTGATGCATGGTACCTCTCTTCCCCCCACTCCACAAATCTTTATGATATGACTAAATAAATTTGATGATTCAGTTGTCACAGCTTCGCGACAACGTACTGAGAGATATTCGTTATTTCCAATATTCTAGCATCACACATTAGATAATTTCCTATGGAATTTGCATTACTAAATTCCGTCAAATCCGGAAAAATAGATTTAGTTTTGCTAGCATTTATGAACATTTATACCTAAGTATCAGATTACTTAAATGTCATATTAATTTATATGTCCAGAAGGTTAAAAACTTTTCAAATCAAATTCATTAACAAACTGCTAGTAGGCCGATACGTAAGAAAAAAAGACCTCAGATCTTTGATACAGAGCTTTTTTCATTTTACTAGTGGGCTGCACCCTCTGCTCGCTAACGCTCACCAACCCCCGAAAATTACTATGCAATCTTATATGGTTTGCTTCACAAACCAATTTCGCTTCGCTCGCTACAAACTTAGGTACATTGCTAATGCACAAAATTCTAAGAATTCAAAACAATCATTCAAATCCATACAACAACTTAAAAAACAAACAAACATCTTTTTAATAAATACTAAGTCATTAAAACAAATTTGAATTCAAATAAATGACATGTAATTCGTTAAACCTATTAGAAATGTGCTATAGTATAAAATCTTAAAGCGTAACAGCACGACTGAGACTCATTTTTCTATGAATAACTAATAACAATAGTAAAACAAATAAATTCGTGATATAAATCAAAAATCGTCAAATAAATTCGTAATATATAAATTTGTGAAAAAAATCGCTTTCGACAAAATACTAAAATAGAGATCTATCGACAAAGACTACTCACTTCTGNGTGATATAAATCAAAAATCGTCAAATAAATTCGTAATATATAAATTTGTGAAAAAATCGCTTTCGACAAAATACTAAAATAGAGATCTATCGACAAAGACTTCTCACTTCTGTCTAGCTTAATAGTATGAGATTGCCGCAGCTGATGCTCTCTGGTTATTTCAGTTTCCGTGTTTAAAAGAGCTATATGTTGAGCCACCTCAGCTAGATTTGGCATGTGACATTTTAGCGGCAATCATTGGTCGATTCGCCGTGTAAGAGAAATAGTAATGTAAACAAAACAAAGCAAACGTTGCCACCGGCGGAAAAGAAATACAGCCAAAATTAGGGAGCCACATAAGAGAATTATATATATTAGATTAACATTTGATCTAAAACTTTTGAATAAAATGGCTAACTACGAATTTAACAAGAATGTTATAGTAAAAAGTGTAATTGCTCCACCTCTTAACAGTCTTACCTAATATAGGCTCTGAAAGCGCAATCTTCTAAAATGTAAAAGCAGTAGAAATATTCTGGAAAAAAATGTTTCAATCAATCTGTTACTAGATTACATTACTAATGAAAACGGTTGTAAGTAAATTCTGAAACACATAATTTAAAGAAAAGAGCAAATATCCAATTAAAAAATAAATAGGACCATCCATCAGTTTTCCATTTACAAAATTCTTAAAAATATGAGTCTTTCTTTTCTCAGGTATAAATGATAAAGAAGGAATTAACTCTTTCATTTATAAGTTCACTCCTGTGACATATAATATGAAATACCTACAATTTGGCGATTTAATCTCAAAATCTCTTTTCTGTACCATTTTATAATTAAATAAGTAATCCCTAGAAACTGAAGCAGTAAGATATTATGGTTGATTTCTAACTTAATTCAAACCGGGAGCCTCTTCAGGTTTAAAATAGTTAACTTTGGGCCCACGTGCATGGTGAATGCTATTTTACTTTATAACCAGCGTTGAATAGCCGACCCAATTTTAAGTTTACGACTCGATTGTTGAACTTCCTAGCCTTGTAATTTTGGACCCAATCCAGAAGACAAGAACACTCCTGGATCATGCATTGGGAGAAATTTGACTTCGAGGCGGACTTTTTTGATGGAACTAACCCGCATTTGCATTACCTGGAGAGGTGAATCATGAAATTCTCCCACGGTTAGCCTGATGGCAAGTGGACTCCAACTCATGTTTTGTCTACCACTCAGGATATTTTACGTCAGCACTGTAGTCGATGTGAGTCGGGAGCAGAAGTTGAATCAAACAGTCAACGCTGGATGGAACCTGGGTAACGTCATTGGGAGGCAAACCATAACCTAACTCTTACCATAACCTAACTCTAACCATCTATGACAGAACCTAACTCTATGATCTGAGCCACCACACCTCTACATAGTGAAGAGAAATTTTGGAAAATCTGTTTCCATAGTGAATTCGTGCGTTAGTGTTCGGAATTACTACTCGCCATGCAAGGTTTAAATATAAGTATAAAATTCTGGAAATATTGAAATTCAGCAGTTATTTTTTTTGTATAAGCATAAAAAATTAAATCGTCTCCCATTTTCAAATAATGCATTCATTCTTC